AGCCATTTCCCATTTGAGTTCTTTTAGAACCCTTGGATGAATGCCATCCGGTCCCGGAGATTTGTTAACATTAAGTTTTTCTATTTGTTCCAAAACCTCCTCTAATGACACTTCAATCCGGGACAGTTCCTCAGATTCATCACCCACAAAGGACGGTGCAGATTCAGGAATCTCCCCAACGTCCTCAGCCGTGAATACTGAAGCAAAGAAATCATTTAGTTTCTCCGCAATGGCTTTATCGTCCTTGATTGCTCCTTTTATAGCTTGGTCATCTAGGGGACCCACAGGTTTTTTAGCAGGCTTCCTGCTTCTAATGTACTTAAAAAACATTTTATTTCTTTTTGAGTTTTTGGCTAGCTGTTCCTCAAAATCTTTTTTTGCTTTTCTTATTACATTTTTACACTTGATTTGACAGTGTTTATGTTCTTTTCTATTTATCTCACTAGGATTGGACTTCCACTTCTTAAAAGATACCTTTTTGTCCCTCACTGCTTCTTTTACATGGTGGTTAAGCCACGGTGACTCTTTTTTAGGTCTCTTGCTATGTTTTTTAATTTGGGGTATACATTTAAGTTGGGTCTCTATTATGGTGTCTTTAAAAAGTTTCCATGCAGCTTTCAGGGATTTGGCTCTAGTCACTGTGCCTTTTAATTTCTGTTTAACTAACCTCCTCATTTTTGTGTAATTCCCCTTTTTGAAATTAAATGCCAGGGTGCTGGACTGCTGAGGTGTTCTTCCCACCATAGGAATGTTAAATTTATTATATTATGGTCACTATTCCCAAGTGGTCCTGAAACGGTTATCTCCTGGACCTGATCCTGTACTCCACTCAGGACTAAATCGAGAATTGCCTCTCCCCTTGTGAGCCATTGAGAAATTTTCTCTCTGCTTCTCTTCCTGAGGTGAGATGTATCCAGTCAATATGGGGATAATTAAAATCCCCCATTATTATAGAGCTCTTTATTTCGGTAGCCTCTCTAATCTCCCTCAGCATTTCAATGTCAGTATCGCTGTCCTGGTCAGGTGGTCAATAATATATCCCTACTGCTAATTTCTTATTATTGGAGCATGGAATTACTATCCATAGTGATTCTATTGAACATGTTGATTCACTTAATATTTTTATTTCATTTGATTCTACATTATCTTTCACATACAGTGCCACTCCGCCACCCACCCGGCCCACTCTCTCCTTTCTATATATTTTATATCCCGGTATGATTGTGTCCCACAGATTTTCCTCATTCCACCAGGTTTCAGTGATGCCTATTATGTCAATCTCCTCCTTTAATACGAGGTACTCTAGTTCACCCATCTTATTAGTCAGACTCCTAGCATTTGTGTAGAAGCACTTTAAAAATTTGCCACTGCTTATTTGTCTGCCCTTCCCTGATGCATTGGATTCCTTTATATGAGGTTGTTTGTCTGCTCTGGCCCATGGTTTATCCTCTCCCCTCCTCTCTTTCTGACTACAGCTTAGAGAATCTCTATCAATTGATTCTCCTCTAAGAGAAGTCTCCATCCGATTTATGTGCATCTCCGCACCAATCGGCTTTCCCCCATCTCTTAGTTTAAAAACAGTTCTACAGCCTTTTTAATGTTTAGTGCCAGCAGTCTGGTTCCACCCTGGTTTAGGTGGAGCCCATCCTTTCTGTAAAGGCTCCCCCTCTCCCAAAAGTGTCCCCAGTTCCTAATAAATCCAAACCCCTCTTCCCAACTCCATTGTCTCATCCATGCATTGAGACTCTGAAGCTCTGCCTGCCTACCTGGCCCTGCGCGTGGAACTGCAAGCATTTCCGAGAATGCCACCATAGATGTCCTGGATTTCAGCCTCTTTCCTAGCAACCTAAATTTGTCCTCCAGGACATCTCTCCTACCCTTCCCTACGTGTTATTTAAATATACCTTGCCAAGAAAAAAGTCATAAAGAAACATAGAAATCACAAAACAAGCAGAAGAAGCGTGACAAAAGCAAACCTTTAGCATTTCAATTAATTAGTCTTAATGAGAGAAAAGTTCTCCGGATTTGTGTTCATCTGTGTATATTTTTATATTTAATACTGACTGTCTAAAAACTAATTTAAAAGAACATCTGGGATTTCATTTTGATGGTTGTGTTTATGTTCAAATTGTGACTGTTCAAACCTGAAAGTTTTTGATGTGCATCTTTCTGACCTTTGAAGAAACAAGAACAATGTCCTCTTTTTCTTACTATAGACAACAAAGATTATCTTAATATTTACATGAAAACCAGATTTTCTAGATGTAACTTTTAGTCCTAACCTGTAACACTGTAAAATTACATCTCTAAGGACATCCTACAAAGACTTATACACATGCTTAATTTTAAGAACATGAGTAGCTTCATTGAATTTAGTGAGATGACAAATTAGAGTCTTTATTATAAGAACACCACTAAAATCTGGCAGAACTCAGAACAGGTATAAATTATATTTTCATTGCATAATGGTGTAAAGGGGCCTTACTATAAATGAGAGTCAAGCCTTTATAAGCCTTCACATCAGATATGTTACCTGGCCTTACCATGAAGCCATGGTGGGATCCATACTGTGGAGGCAGGAGAGTCTTAGGTTTGGCCCAGTTTAAGTGTAAGGGACTCTGTAATGGGTTCACAGTGGAGAATGATGAGAGAACAGGACTTATAGGAGGTGTTTTGTTTAGTCAGTTTATGTAGTATGTAGGTATTTAATTATGCTGTAGATAAATATAGAAAAACCCAAGTACTAATAGCCTCTGGTTCAATAACAATGATCCATACTGATGTTTTAATTCTTTAAGGCTGCAGGTTCAAGATCACAGTGTAATCTGCTAATATTGTTATTAAACTGCAAATTATATTTACAATTTCTTGCACTGGGGAAATTAAGGCTGCTTTCTGTAAGCCGAGCAGCCAAAAGTTGTTGCAGGAGTACTGGTAGGTATAGGGACACAGACTTGTTCATAGCTTGAATAATCTTTTAAAAGACACACTATGTCAAACTATAACCTTACACTCAGATCATGCATACTCATGTACATAACTTTACTCACATGAGTAGTTCCAAACTTACTCATGCAAATAGTCCCATGGACTCAAGTAGAACTATTCAAGCAAGTTAAAGTATGTATGCCCCTTATTTCTAAACAACAAGCGAAGCGTCCACTCTACCAAGCCTCTTATTTCAAAATAAGGGGCTGGTTATTTTGAAATAATAACTCCTGCTTTCCATGAGGAATAACACTAATTTTGAAATATCAGTAGTGTGGATGCTCCAGTGCTGCTATTTCAAAATAACTACTCCCCAGAGTCATTCAAACTCCTCAGAGTAATTACTTCCTGGGGCTCTATGTTGAGGTAGCACATCCACATTAAGGGAAACTGCTTCGGACTAATTTCAAGGCTTTCCCGTAGTGTGGACACGATATTTCGAAATTATTATTTCTGGATTTATTATTTCAAAATAAGTTATTTTGAAATAATTTCCTAGTGTAGACATGCCCAAAGTGACTAAGTGTGTGCAGGGAGTGAGGGTATGTCTACACTACCCTGCTAGTTCGAACTAGCGGGGTAATGTAGGCATAGCGCAATTGCAAATGAAGCCCGGGATTTGAATTTCCCGGGCTTCATTTGCCTAAGCGGGGCGCCGCCATTTTTAAATCCCCGCTCGTTCGAACTCCATGCCGCGCGGCTACACGCGGCACAACTAGGTAGTTCGAACTAGGCTTCCTAGTTCGAACTACCGTTACTCCTCATTCCACAAGGAG